GGCAAGGCCCAATAAGAGGCATTACTAAATCTGCCCCAGTGCACAACACATCACATGACTGTAACTTGCTATTTTTGCAATACAGCACATTTTTTCTACCATTTGAAATATTATTCAGTCCTACTATTTCTCCCCTGTGTTTCTCTGTAAAAGCACCAAGTATTCCCAGATATAAAACTGCTGGAGCTTAAAAAAAAAGACATGATATTCAATGATATTCAATATCAGTATTAATCTAACTGTGAAAAGTTATACTGCTTGCAGAACAGACTACATCATTTGAAATGTGGGGGGTGCTTTTCTTCTTTCTAAGCAATGCAGGTTGATGCAGGTAAAGTCTCTGCTGGGTGTGTTTCTGCTTTACCAAACCTGCCTAAACTTAAACTTGTGGCTGTGGTTTGTTTTTGTTTGCTTGTTTGTTTTTTTTTAATGAATGGAACCAAAATTAGACAGTTCATAAGGCAAGCAACAGTCAGGCCTCCTGCCTCCTTATTTTTAAGTATACGAACCTCCATCAGTGAACAAAGAAGTGTCCAGATCTGGGTCTCTCTGCCTAGCCAGTGCCAGCAACGTGGTCAGGAGCTGCAGGAGGGCATCTCTGCTGGTGCCCGAGTCTCCGCAGCGCCATGCTGCTTGCTGTCCTTTGCTCGTAATGATGGAAAGCTTTGACCCGGCCACATTTCTGCTTCTAGAGGGAAAAGCAAAGCCTTCTCTCAGGGCTATTTCAGCTCCCAGGACCCTTGTGCTGCCCCGGCTGTCCTAGCAGCTGCCCAGCGAGCATTTCTGCCTTTCACAACCTCTTCCCCTGCTTAAATAGTCTGAAGAGATAGTATTTTCCTTTCCTTTTTTTCTTTTTCTTTTTTTTTCCCCCTCCTAATCGCAGAAAGGCCTCCCCGCCTAATCTAATTCCCGCTCCTTTGTCACAAGCAGATGTCACTTTTACATCTGTGTGTCTGCTCAATCGCCCTGTCTCCTCTAGCTCAGCAGATGTTGCCGCCGCCGCCGCGGCAGCCGCGACCGGGGGGAAAAAGCAAAGCTCAGATCCCTCTGCTGGCCACCTCCCGAAAGCCACGGCCGCGCAGCCAGGAGAGGGTTGGAGCAATTAAAAAAGGATTATTATTATTATTATTATTATTATTATTATTATTATTATTATTATTAGTAGTAGTAGTAGTAGTAGTAGTAGTAGTAGTAATAGTCCTCCTTCTTCATCACCATCATCATTACTATTGCAAATCCCCCATCTCAACTGATTAGGCAGTAGATCAGCCAAGAGCGCATCCAGTCACCTGGCATCCTGAGCTAGCGCGGAGAGACGCGGGGAGGGAGGGCGGCCGAGTAGGGCCGCGGAGCGCAGCCAGTGGGAGCGGGGCAGCAGGGACAACAAAAAGTGTGATTTTTTTTTCTCTCTGGCGTGGGAAGTAATGTCCCGACGCGGCGGGAGCAGGAGCATGTCCCCGCACGCGCTGTGACCGGGGGACAGCCAACACGTGTCACCGCCCCTTGTCCTGTCACCCGCTGCGGCTGCGGCAGTGACGGGCCGGGCCCTGCAGGCGCGCTGCACTGCGCTCCCCGACCTGGGGAGGCCCGCACCTCAGGGGACTGGCCGCTGTGGAGTGGGATGCTCTGGCCGGTCCCTCCGAATAAAGCGATGTCAAAGAAACCCTCGCCAGTATGTAACATTTTATTCCGGCGGATGGGAGCGTCGCAGCGCGATGGAAGCGGGGCCCGGGAGGCGCTTTCCCATGGCCGGCGGCGGCCGCACAAAGGCGCGCTGTTCCCCGTTTTGTTCCTCTGCCTCCGAGCATTCCTCCCGCAGCCTGAGGGGAGCGGACCAGCCCCCTCTCAGTGTCGAAAGAGAGTAAAGAAAAGTGGCTTTTACATACTCGGCCTGTTTTACTCCATCACCCTACCCCACCGCGCCGCCCGCCGCAGCGCACACCGCGTATCCTGT